ATCAGCCAACTGCTTGGGCTATGCAAGGGAAAATTCTGAGGAGTTACCTACACAGGGCTCAAAGAAAGTGCCATCAGGTCGTCCAGGACAAGTAGATTTTCCTGCTGGTCAATTACCTTTTCATTCTCATTTGCCTGATGGGCAAAGACCCAGGCAAGTCCTCTACCAACTAAACCAAAAGAAATGTCAACTACGTCTTGCCCAGGGCAAGCATAGTTTGAGAGCTGCTTGTCTGAAGGGCAAGCTGGAATTCACGTTTTTCAAGCCCTGCCACAGTTGACTAGCATCCCATGCTGAGCGAGTTAAGCCCCAGCATTCACAAGCCCATTTTCTTAACTTGATGTCTCTCTGTAAGGTTAATACATAAATATATATGTAGTAATAAACAAAACTAATTAAAACCAAATTGATTGATTCCAGGAAATGATGCAAGTGAATCACAGTTGTCAAGCTCACCACCTAACAACATTTCCCTAAATGGAAATATGAGTGAGTATTTAACAAAAGTGGAACAACAACAAATTATTAATGCTATGCAATGATCATGTTATTGTTTTCTTTCGCAATGCCCTCATTTCATATTGTGAATCCAAAAGACTGAACATGGTAGTTGTTATGTGAGATCAAACGATATTGTGGACTGAGGGAACACTGATCAGTTGTGAGGAGAATTAAAAGTCCCAGTAAATGCTATCGATTGATCTGCAATCTGAGCTGTTGCAGCTAAACTTACTAGCATTTGAAAGTCGAATCAAGATATTTGTGTTTCTTGGATTTACACAGTGGAAGTTTGTATCTTGTGGTTAACCTTGAGTATACAGTGATTTTGCTCATGCTTAATTAATTGAATCCATCTCTGTTAGATGTGAACGGATCATCAATTCCCATCAGTAATGAGGCCATTGCAAGAGCAGCACAGTTTCCTACAGTGCAGAGTAAGTGTTTGCTCTGTGCTTTATATAATTTTAGCTTGAACATTCTTGAAATGAGTGGAATCTCATGATTAGACACTCAAAAGTGCTCTGACTACTCTGTCAATATGTGTAAGGCTGTTGCCACAATTTCAGTGAACACTGAATGATGTACCAGCTTTCTGTTTGTTTCTCAGGTATTCTAGCTAAGGTTGCATCTCTCCATGGTAACCCACCAAAGAGTCCAACATCAGGTATGGAAATGGCACCCTACATTTATCCATTGATAGTCAATTTCAGAATAACTTCAACTTGTGTCAAAGGGAAGGGATGACTTTGGGACCATTAACTTACTTGACCAACAAATATAAACAAATTTGCAACAATTGGTTATGTGGCCTAGTGGAGATGAAGCTCTACTACAAAGTCAGATGTTCAGACCTGTGAGTCAGAGTACAAAATTTAAAGGCTTAAGGGGTAGGGTAGGGTAGGGTTAGGCAAGGTGGGGTTGATATTGAATTCTGGCAGGGTAGGGTAGGGTTAGGTACTGAGGGGGCAAGGGTGTGTTTGGTATTCAAAAAACCCCATTAAAGTGAAAAAAATAAATAAACTGGTGTGAAAAATTTATCCTGGGTTGAAACAAATTAATCTAGGTTGAAATCATTCTGACTTAAAGAACAAATTGACTAACAATGGGACCCCCTACCTTGCTTCTCTGAGTTTCATTGAGTGAAAAAGTTTTTATTTTTGCCTAGAAACAACCGCAGTCACTATTGT